AAGGGAAACACATTAAAACACTTGAAGGACGGATCAGTAATTAGGGCAAGTGCTGTTTTGGGGAGGAGTACGTCCTTTCCTGAGTTAAGAAATGAAAGTTGTGACACAACTGTTGAACAGGAATACTTGATGATGAAGGGACAAATCTTAAGGTGAAAAATCAAAGCAGAGTGGAGAACCACAGGACATTACAACTGCTTCAAAATCATGAGGATAAACTCTGTATGGGCAGAGAGGGTAGAGGAGAGGGATGGGGCAGCAGTAAAACAAGGGGCTGTAAGATAAGTTGTGTGTTTGAGAGGCTGTCTCCATATCAGTAAATGATCAGGGTAATGGGATCTGCTTTTCTACAGTCCCTTGCTCCTGAGGAGGCACAGCATCCTCCCCACAGGCATATCTCGCATGTGGTTTCAGGTTCTGCCCCTACAGGAGTGGCTGGAGAGGGAAACTGTTCCTCACTGGTTCAGCCGTTGCCTACACGGCTGGTTGTGCACAGGAGGAAGGAGATGTTGGTTGCAACCCCCTGTTGCTTCTCTCTGCAAGGGCAGTTAATCATCAACCTCTGTGCTAAGCAGAATTATCAAACAAACATGATTTCACTCTTTTCCCTGCAGTTATCAGTGGCTCTCTGAGTACCAGCATCTCTCAGCTATGCTCAGGCAAGTTCCTCTAAACAAGGATGCTTCATATCTTAGCCTGGTTAATTTACAGTGTTAATTTATAGTGCTATCAGCTGCTCTGGCTGCCTTTGCACTGAAGTGGGTGAGCACATACCCAGTCCTGCAATTGATGCTCTGTCTGCACATGAGGATGGTAGCATTATACGGTATTTCAGCTCTGCTCCAGCTCTCTGTTGATACCCCAGGGGTTTCTGATAGGTATTTGCTTCAGAACTCAGCTGTATTTGTTCAGCCTTAGGTGTTAGCTTTAACTGTAATTTCAGTGTATGCTCTGAATGTACACACCTTGAGAGTGCAGGGCATGGAGGTAAAGCTTGCAGCTCTAAAACTTTTCTATTGCTAGCCAAAGCTACTGGCTTTGCCAGATGATGTGGTGCGTGAATGATCTCTGTTGAAGGGGAAATACAGACCAAGCTGCTGTGACCATTGAGTTCTTTCTATCTCCTACTGTCTTTGTGCACAGTCTAAGGGTGCAGATGCTTTTAGTTGCCTGTCTTTGCTGGACTAATTGGAAGTTCAGCTTTCTTACACAGTGAGAAACAGCATTTTGGGTGAGGAAGTGTGGAAAGCAAAGGAGGGGTCTTCTCCAAAGCCTGTCCGGCTGAGTGCTGCTGGCTGTGCTCCCCACTTGCTGCCTGCACCAGCATAAAAGCATCAAGAAGTATTTTGAATGAGCTGTAATTTGTATGTATATTTAGAAACCTGTGACTGCTCCCTCCCGCAGTATCACCAAGTAAGTGACTGTCATCTTAAAACTTTGACTTCATTCAGCTCGCGTGAGTTAAAGCGCTTGAAGGCAGCACAGGAAACCCACTTGGTAAGCTGCGGGCAGGGAGTGTGTGCAGGGGGAAGGCAGTGCAGCATGGCTGGAAATGCAAGCAAAAAGCTCAGCAATCAGAAGAGGAGCTGCACTCCTCTGTTGCATCCATTAAATAATTGCTTTAGAACCACTTTTTTTATAGATTTGATGATGACCTCTGCAGAGCTGCAAGCGTTTCCAATGCTGCTGGAGGTTTATGGTCTCCTCAGCATGTGTTGTCTCTGCCCAGTGGCTGGGGCTTTTTGTCACTTTGCTCATGAAACTGAAACTTTATTTGTAGACCATTTTGCAAACGGGGATCCAGCGTTAATTTCACTTGCTGGGAAGCCTGACTGCAGACATCCATTTCAAAACTCTTCTGGTGTTGTGCTTGCACACTGATCTACCTGGTGGGTCCTGATTAGCAGCAGGTAACGGCAGGGTATATAATTTAAAGGGCATTTGTGTTGGTGATGAGCAGCCTGAGTTACGCCGTCTCTTTGAACTGTGCAGCATAGAATCACAGAATGGTTTGGGCTGGAAGGAGACTTAAAGCTGATGCAGTCCCAACCCGCTGCTGTGGGCAGGGACACCTTCCACTACATCTGGTGGTCTTGTCTGGGCTCGCTCCAACATTTCCACATCCTTCTTATGTTGGAGGCCACAGAGCTGGGCGCAGGACTGTAGGTACTGCAATCCTCATTATCCTGTGCTCCTTGCTGCTGAAGTATAGGAGGGACCATATCTTGTTCTTTCCAGCTCTGGACATCCCCAAGGAGACTCTCTCACCCATCCTCACATTGCCAAAGGGCAGCATGCCTGCTATGTACCATTTGAGGTGCTACAGGGAGAGCTGTAGCAGAGAAAAAGTCCATGGTTGAAGTCACTATGAGGCTTATTGCATGAAGCTGCGTTTGCTTGTGGTGTGCTCAATTTTTCTAGAAATATGGTCAAGACTTTAGAAAATATTTGAATGGCAAAGGGACATAAACTGGAATTAGGGATTTTAGGCAAGCTCTAGAAGAGTGGTAGGATTTCAGTATCAAATTATTTCAGCATACGGGGAAAGAAGGATTTTCAGGCTTGCAGTGAAAAACAGCCATGGCTCGATGTGAGTATTTTTGCTAAGTATCTCTTTAGGATTTCTAAACCTGCTTATCACCCTGCTGGGCAAAACTCTAGAAGGAATGAGGGGAATGCAGGCTGTACGTGTGTGCATTAAAAGTAGGAAGATATGAAAGGAATGAGAAAGGACTTCAAGTGCAAGAAGGTACTTCCCACAGCTTTGAATAATGTGTGGACTGAAGGGTGTCTAAATATTACCCAGAGCTAAGCTCACCCCACAAAGTTACAGCAGGCTGTGTGTGCTCTTCCCCAGCCAAGCTCTTGGTCTTTATTGAACAAAAATGCCTGTGTAGGTGTCACAAGGTTAATACAGAGTTAAAAATAAAACTACAGGGAGTTAAAACTGTACTGAATCTTTGGTTTAGGAATGATGATTACCTTTTATTTTCTTTCTGAAAAGACAGGACCAGTTTTATTGCCCTTTGATCAGGAGCTGAACCTGAACAACTCCAGTCACTGATGAGCCTGAAACAGAACTATTTCCTGGATCGCCTCCCTGTTTGCATGTAATCTAATTTTTAACCCAGGTTGCAGAATAGACTTTTAAAGTTCGTGTAGTCAAGATACACATGGTAAGCAAGCTGTTCACTAGATAAACCATTCAGAGGTTAGGAATAAGTTTAGCTGGCAAATGAATTTGGTATCCTGAAGTTGGTGTTAGTTATCTGAACTCACGAGTGAAGCTTTCGAAACAACAAGTAACTAATCAAAGTCATTTCAGATCTGAAAGTGATATTGGTTGTGTTCTAGTCAAACCCAATTTTTCAAAGCAAGATGTGAACGTATTTCAGGGTTGAAAAAAGACTTTGAACAGACTGACCTACAGGGCTTCATCTCTGAACTGGGTACAAAGCACCAGTAACCTTCGCAGTGCGATGGAAGGATGTTTCTTGAAAGTAGTTTCTGTGGTGTCTGAGCTGTTCCTGTTGAAAGGTAGATGAATACTGGTGAAGCAGCCCCCGTGCATTTGTGATGATGTGAATCATAGCCAGACACTACAAATGCTGTGTATTTATTACCTGTTAAATCGGGTAATACTTCTCCTGGAATTGGTCATGTTCAAGGAAATAAAGACTTCATCTGCTGTCTGCTAGAGATGCCACATTTTGCTTTTTATTTCTGGGTTGCCTCAAGAAGCTGTGGCTGCCCCATCCCTGGCAGTGTTCAAGGCCAGGTTGGACAGGGCTTGGAGCAACCTGGTCTAGTGGAAGGTGTCCCTTCCTGTGGCGAGGGGTTGGAAATGGGTGAGCTTTAAGATCCCTTCCAACCCAAGCCATTCTGTGATGCTATGATTCTATGACTGGGAAATCAGAAAAGCAGTACTTTCCAAGGAAGTTGTTCATTCATTGCATTTGCTATAGCGATATACACTTCAAAATAAGGGCAGATGTGTTTGCTGTGGACTATACTGTGTTCAGCGTCTGGATGAATTACTTAATCAGTGCGAAAACCTAAATACCCCCTTTCCAGCACATTATTGTTAATGTTTGATATCTGTGCCTGTTTGGATAATGGATATAATTGGTAACTTGACTAGTAAGGCATTAGTACCAGTGTCTGGGTGATGCAAAATGAGCCTTTTTACAATACTGTAGCACTGGGTTAAAGACAAATTTGATTTGTGTTACCGCACAGTGTCTCTGGAGCTGAAATTAGACCCTTTGTTGTGCTGATCGCTGTTTAATTACTGCTGCCTTGTTTTGTGCCTGTTAAAACGTCCAAAATGATTACTTAGGAGAACAAAAAGGGACCTGTGCGAAGCCTCCTGATATGTGCTTTTGCAGGTGATGGGCTGCATTGCCAGCCATCCAAACATGGGCTTGCTCACTTCCTCAACTGGTATTGTCTCTTCTGTCTTCCCTTTAACCAGTGCAATAACAGCCATCCTTTCTTCTGGACCCAGAAATACGGGGTTTAACTTCAGGTCCTTGCCACAGTGGCACAGTAAGGTGTCTTAGCTGCCAGCAGTCCTCCATTTTGCTCAGTGCCCTGATCTCCTTTTTCTCTGCTGCTAATGTGAGGTGATAATTCAGACATGGGATGAGGTTTCTGAACCTTGTTATTGATTACAACTTGCTGTTTGCTCTCTGAATTGATGCAGTTACTGGTAATAAGGGGGATATCAGCGCTGAGCAGTGTGATTGCCTCCGAGAGGAAAATTAAATTTGCCATGCTGCCGGTTCTTATATTTGTTTATTGTGCTCTCTGTACAGGCAGAATACTAAAGGGAGAAAAAAGGAAAACAGGCTTAATTTTAAAGGTGTTGTAATTGAAAAGTAATTTCAAAGCACGACTTTCTGTTTGCCTTGTGCCCTGCAGGAGGGTTTCGGGGCTGCTATTTGCTTTCCATCATTTCCAGAGAGGCCAGGGCCTAACAGATCAACTTCTCCTTTCAGAATAAGGACAGCAGTGAATGTGAGAACAAGCGTCCCAGAGAAGACGAAGAAGAGGAGACCGTCAAGCACAAGTAATTATTTATTTATTCCCACTTGTCTCTCTTGTATGTGTAGTTCAGGCACTGCTGTCGTTGGCTAATTAGGATCTTTCCTTGGCTTCTAACACACGATTTAGTTTTGCTTTTAAGTGTCAGTTTGATCTCATGCTAATGAAAATGATCTGAAATGGGGGCATAAAGGGGAAAAGCCTGTGGCTGACCTACAGTGTTCTTGGGGGTAGCGAGGGAAGGGTGTTACCATCAGAGGTGTCTGGAGCATTTAGGCTGCCTTGGATTTGCCAGCCATTGTTGTACCTCTGTGCCCTGCACATGTGTTGTTTGAAGTGGGGAGGTTATTATTTTCCACGAACAGCAGCCCACACGTGGCTGCTTAACTGTGGCCCACCGCTCTTCTGTCTCATCACTGGAAAACGTGAACACAACACTAACAGAGCACAGTGTGGCTCCTGGCAGGACCAGCTGACTGTGCAGTTGGTTTCCTGCCGGTAAAAACGTCGTCAGGTCTCCTTTGGAGATGATGAGGGGGTAGTTTGGTTTGAAGGTGTGTGACATGACCTTTTCTCATTGTTTTACTGCTAGAAACCTCCTCTGTGGGAGGTGTGCTGTAGAGATGATGCTGGGATGAGCCCATGTGAGAAAGCAGTGCAAACTTCTTGCTGCTTCTGGGGAATAACTGCATAAAAAGGATTGTGGCCAACAGGCTGAGGGAGCAGGCTCCTCTGCTCCGCTCTCATGAGACTCCCCTTGCAGGGCTGCGTGTAGCTGTGGGGCCACCAGCATAAGAAGGACGTGGAGGTGTTGCAGTGAGTCCAGAGGAGGCCACAGAAGTGCTCCAAGGGCTGGAGCACTTCTCCTATGGAGATAGTCTGAGAGAGCTGGGCTTGTTCAGCCTGGAGAAGAGAAGGCTCTGGGGAGACCTTAGAGCAGCTTCCAGTGCCTAAAGGGGCCAACAAGAAAGCTGCAGAGGGGCTTTTGACAAGGGCAGGTAGGGACAGGACAAGGGGAAATGGCTTTAAACTGACAGAGGGGAGACTGAGATGGGATCTGAGGAAGGAGTTCTTCCCTGTGAGGGTGGTGAGTCCCTGGCACAGGTTGCCCAGAGAAGCTGTGGCTGCCCCATCCCTGGCAGTGTTCAAGGCCAGGTTGGACGGGGCTTGGAGCAACCTGGTCTAGTGGAAGGTGTCCCTTCCCATGGCAGGGAGTTGGAACTGGATGAGCTTTAAGGTTCCTTCCCACCCTGACCATTCTAGGATTATATGATGTCTCCCGGCAGAAAATGCATCCTTTATAACAGTCCATGTGGATTTGGTGCTGGGAGTGCTTCTTGAGAGCCATCACTGAGACTGAACTTGGTTCGTAGGTTTGGGTTTTGTGCCAGAAGAGGCAGGAGGTCTGGGCTGAAGCTGAAACAGGAGCTGGAGATCATGGAAATGATGATGAATAATAAATAAACAGCTCTTGCTTTCCAGTCCTGCCACTTGATACACTGCGTGGTGAGGTGATGCAGCGTGTGGTGACCCACTGGCAAGATGCATCAGGCCTGGGCTGTCTTTACCACGGTGTAAGCTGGCATCATTAGGCTAACAGCAATGCATTGCTGCTCTGAAACTGAAATTATGAATTGGTCCTCTAAATCTCTGAAAATAATCTGGTTTTCTACTGTGACTGACTTCCAGGCTGGGGATTGATACTTTTTATCTACTACTGGAGCATATCTGAGGTGATGTGGTTTCTTACTCAGTCTTCAGCGTCACTGCGGTCAACTTGGTAAATCACTTTTTCCATGAGCACTTGTTCACGAGCTCTCATCTTAAGGCAGGTTCAGTAAAAAGCCTTCCCCTGCCTGAGGGTGATGCCCTTGAAACTTCACCAAGGTGGAATGTAAAGAGCAGAGGTGTTGAGTAGGAGCTCCCATCTCCAGCCAGCTCTGTACTGATGCATGAAACTCCCCACAGGTGTGGGCCAGGGCTTCTCTTGAAACACGTGGGAGTGGTGCCTTTGGGAGGCAGCTTTTGGGGTGAAAAGTCTGCTTTCTAGGTTGATTTTCCTGCAGGAGTCTATCTCTTTGTCCATCTGTCCAACTACAGCATGTTCTGTTGGGATCCAAGCGTAACTTTGCAAGGCAAATTAGAGCAAGAAATGCAGGAAATGTTTGAATCACAAATTTGGCTGAGATGATTCTTAGCTTTTGCTTTACTTGTTGCACGTCCTTTTTCTGTTGCTGGAATTGGATCTGTGTGAAGATCTAGAAAGCTGGTGAGCTGATAATATTTTTATTTCCCAATAGTGTATATGAACTTTCTGAGCCCTTTGAAAAAGGGAACTGCTTTGCACTAATGCCCCGTTTGCTAGTGGCAGAAGGTGAGCAGCGATAATCTGCTGTCATTTACCCTGAATCTGGGAAAGGAGGGGTCCTGGTAAATGAAATCTGCCTTCCCTGCAAACCACTTGCACCTAAACAAGCACCTCAATAGCTGTGCTGCTTTCTCAAGCTGAAAACCATCACGAGCACCACTTGGGGAGGGAAATCTAGTGGTTCAATAAATAATCTTGTGGCCTGTGTGCAGGGTTAGGTGTACTGCCTGCCCTGAGAGGCAAACAGCAGCCTGGGGCTTTTGCTGCAGGCTGGTTCCTCTTGCATCCCTGCAGCTGCACCTTCTGCACCAGCCTGAGACCATCCTTTATTCCCTATACAAAGGACAGAACTGCTGGGCGCTGTCTTAACTAATACTTTCCTCTGCCTATGGGGCGACAGGCTTTTTGGCAGCTTCCTGTTCTGTTTTGTTTTCTGATTGACTCAAATATCCCCATCCCCCTCACCCCCTTTTTTCTTTTCTTTTTTTTTCTTCCTTGTTTTTATCTCTCGCTGCAAGCCACCACCACAGGAACAAGTGCTGACGAAGCCCCTTGCGAAAACCTTGCAGCAGTTTCAGCTTGGGCTATCTCTGATCTGAGCTCTCGGGGGAGTTTGTATCTTTGTAATTGTGAAGAGCTGGGGTTATTTATGTTTTTGCAACCAGTTTTGCTTTAGCCCGCTGACCAGGAAACACCTTCCGGTGTGGCGCAGCCTGCGATCTGCCTTTGTAAGGAACAGGGTGTGGGTGGACTTCGGCCTTTCCGCCCCATTCCCGCAGGGAAAAGCAGTCTGGGACATGGGGATCGGCAAGGCGAGCTCTGCGTAAAGCCAAGGCTGGCTGAAGGCTGGCATTGCTGCCCCACAGGGAGCAGAGAGGCGTTGGGCCTGGGGCGGGAACAATCTTCAACTCTTCAATCTAACTAGAAATTAAGCTTCAGTGAGCTGCTGCTAATCAGCTGCCGGTGTTTCGACACTTAGTCATCCTGTAGAATTACAGCTCTGTGCTGTGCTGCTTGCAGAGATGAATTTCTGGGAGGAGCTGGGGGAGGCAGGGTTGGGAAATGAGATCGCTCCCCTCTCATGGGAAGAATGTCACGGGGCAGGTCAAACCCACTTTGTTTTCTCTGCACAAAAGAAAATACGGTGGTGAGTCTCCTCAGTGTTTGCTTTAGCTTGGCAGGGTGGCCAAGGCAGTGGCAGGGATAACTGCTGTGTGGACGTGCTTCCTCACATCCTGGAGTGTGGAGAGCTTAATGAAGAGTTTAACAATAATAAATAGAATGAAATCAAATACAGGAGACATCAGTGTTTGCAGGTAGGCTGGGTTTGGTACATGTGGCATATCTGAGCAACATCTGCATGGACAGCTGAACCTGTTACTGCTAGTGGTGTGTCCTAATGGGCACTGCAGTGTGTCAGGCTCCATCCCCACTCTGCATCTCCAGGGATCATCTGGACCGTTTTCCCTTTGCTGAGGAAGTGCTTGGCCCATAGAGGAGGAGGGCAAGGCTGTGTAGCATTGTACGTATTGCTCAGTGCTGGAGAAGGGAGGGCAGGAGTTTAGATGGCTGAATTCTTCTGGCTGGAGAGACACGGGAGCTGGCAGGATCTTAGCTCCATCCTGAAGGTACTTGTCCATGTTTTGATGCAGTGCAGAGCCCTTCTCCAGAGCAGTAAGGATGCTGTGGACCTTCCTTCTCATTACAGCTGTATCTGTAACTCAGGGGTAGATATCCAGAGCCTGATTTGTTTTTGCAGAGAAAGCCCCATGGAGCTTCAGCTGGTCCAAAGCCTGGCTGCACTCTCCTCACCGAGGCTGCTGCTGTGTTCAATGAGTGCCTGATGATTCTGGCTTTGCCTTGAACAGGTTGGGTGTCCCGCTGCCTGTTCCCCAGCAGCAGGGTGCAAGTGTGAGCACCCAAAGGTGAAACCTTGGTCCTTCCCACCCAAGAACTGGTTCTGAGTTCCCAGCATCTTCCCAGCAGCCCACTCTTCTTCAGTAATAGAAACCCTGTAAAAGGGCATGGGCAAAGTATGCTCTTGTGGCAGCATGTGAAGGAGCATAGCTGGGTGCTGCAGGCAGTTTGCATATAGAATCATAGAATTGTTTAGGTTGGAAAAGATCTTCAAGATCATTGAGTCCAACCATTAACCAGACACTGCGAAGTCCACCACTAAACCATGTTTCCAAGCGCCACATTTACAAGTCTTTTAAATTCCTCTGAGCGTGGTGGTTCCACCACCTCCCTGGGCAGCCTCTTCCAATGCTTGACAACCCTTTCAGTGAAGAAATTTTCCTTATATCCAATCTAAACCTCCCCTGGCACAACTTGAAGCCGTTTCCTCTCATCCTATAGCCAGATCCTGGTGCTGTGTTGTCAGCCTGGGTCGCATGCTGCAGATCAAGTATGGGTTTTGTCCTGATAGTATTTGCTGGTTGTAGAGTAGGCACAAGTTGTTTGTTTGCTTTGAATGTGCTCAGCTGCCTGGAAAAGCAGCATAGGAGGCCTGACAGCCTTGTGGCACCCGCCTGCACCGGAAGAGCTTCCCTTGCAGCAGCACTCAGGGATATATCTCTCCCCATCCTTGTTCCCTCAAGAAGTGCATCCTGAGAAACCAGCTGCCTTGGCAAGTTTCTGGGGCTCATGGTGTTAAT